ACCTATGTGTCTCTATCTTGGCGTCCAAATCAACGTGGCCGAGCTATATGCAAAAATGGCCACCTAGGATTCAGGATTATATTAAACAGCCAAAAAGATTCATGGCTGTATATGTCTAATTTATCAGGCAGTGGAGTACACCAGCTGTTTCCCTTAAAAGCTAGATCTAGCCCTGTTAAGTACTCGTACTTAGTGGGTGAAAGAGGCGCATTTAGGTCATAAATCACTTGATCGGGAAAATCTTTCTACAGTCAAGACAGTTTGTGTGACCTAAGAGGCACAAAAGAAAACGAATCTACATGCGACAACCTTAGGATTAAAAAAAAAAAAATCTGAGGTGGTCCTACGTGCCGATGAACTGAATAACTGTGGAATGCGCAGTCGCAGGCCTAGAACGTCTAGTAAGTGGGAGGTGTGGATCTTGGCGTATGGACTCGTTCCCTTGTCTCGCGCGGAATGGGGCTAAACTAAATGGATGGGACTCACGAGCAGCAGCTGCCGCATAATGCAGCTTCCTCGTTTAATTTGAATTGAGTCTCAGCGTAGCGGCGAGAGGGGATCATCTCGGTGATGAAAACTACATTACCAATGCGGCACTAGCCGCACCTTGTTTCGATCATATTAAGCCGAGTTTCAATGGCGCCACAGCACACAGAGCAGATTTCCGGTCATTTTTTGCAACTTCTGTGCCACAATTTTCAGATATAATGGCCTGAATTATCGCAAAGTAGTCGATTTCGGCAATTCTCTTTTGTTTTTCTTTCCTGATTGTTTTCTATATTTAATTTTTGAATGTTAACAATACACGATCTAATGAAGCCCTGTCAGGGTGTGTTTTTTAACGTCATATTATGTGGCCATTGTTTGAAGCATAGCCGACGACCACAAAGCAGACGTGTACACATAGCCAGAAAGTTGTCAATCCTTAGGCGCAATCACATTTACCCTTACTGCTTACTCTTCCAGCATCAAACATAGAATGGTTTTTACTTAATTCATCCTGCTACACATATGTTCAATTCGCATGCACACCTCTCATACTGCTCACTCTTAAATCACACAAAGATCATGCTAACTTCGCAGCAGACTTTCTCGTCAGAGGTTTTTTAAGCCATTCCTCTTTGCCCAGAGCTTATAAGCATGGGTAATTTATCTCACTAATTAAAAAACCTCTTACGTTACAGTAATGTTTACTCATTTTATCACCAAAGTCATATCTAGTCGCCTTTTACAAGGTGGTTGTTAAAGGCGGTTCACCTTTCCAATTCTTTTCCTACAATAGCTGTCACCCGTGTGTAAATGGGGCCGTCACGGAAAGCAAAGAATAGTAATACAGCACCCTATCAGGCATGTCGTAAAGGCCGAAAGAGGGTAGAGTTGGGCTTGACGTTGGCTACCTTATCCTGTAAACAACAGCCATGGAGAAGTCAAAAGGAGAAAGATGAAGAACCCAGCCAAGTAAGATGAGGAAAAGCTCATAAAAACAAACATACATACATACATGATAGTAAACAGCTGCAAGACCACATAAACCTACTACACGACAGTTGCCTCAAGCATCATATGAAGATCAATACTGAAAAGACAGAAGTCATGAGCATAAGTAGAGAGCAACAGACCATCGACATAAAGATTCTAGATCACAGCCTAAAACAAGTGCAAGAATTTAAATACTTGGGAAGTATCTTTACATTCAATGGTAAAATAGACAGAGAGATCGAAGCAAGAATCCAACAAGCCAACAATGTCGCATACCAGCTTGCCCCAATTTTAAAACACCCTGCTGTCCCAGCTGAGATAAAAAGACAAATTATAAATACAATCTTTATACCGACAATATGTTATCAATGTCAGACTTGGACATTAACAAAAGAACACGAGAGAAGACTAACCAACTGTGAAATGAGATGTTTGAGAATGGCTGCGAATAAAACCAGAAGAGATCGAGTGAGAAACGATGTGATTACAAGAACTATTGGAAACATACCCATCGTTAAATTTATTGAGAAGCAAAGAATGAAATCGTTTGGTATCCTAATGAGAATGGAATCAACGATGCCGGCATCAATAGCATACAACATGAAAATCGAAACACCAAGAGGCAGGGGAAGACCAAGAAGAAGGATTAAAGGAGTCACTGACAACTTGAGACTTCGTAACATCACGGCATATGAAGCGACTGAGCGCGCCCTGGCTCGGTTGCCGATCATCTGATAGTCTGCGACGCCTAGCGGCACAAGCAGATTTTGACAAAAGAATACATACATACATACATACATACATACATACAGACATACATACATACATACATACGTACATACATACAGACATACATACATACATACATACGTACATACATACATACATACATACATACATACATACATACATACATACATACATACATACATACATACATACATACATACATACATACATACATACATACATACATACATATACATACATACATACATACATACATACATACATACATACATACATACATACATACATACATACATACATACATACATACATACATACATACATACATACATACATACATACATACATACATACATACATACATACATACATACATACATACATACATACATACATACATACATACATACATACATACATACATACATACATACATACATACATACATACATACATACATACATACATACATACATACATACATACATACATACATACATACATACATACATACATACATACATACATACATACATACATACATACATACATAGATACATACATACATACATACATACATACATACATACATACATACATACATACATACATACATACATACATACATACATACCTACATACATACATACATACATACATACATACATACATACATACATACATACATACATACATACATACATACATACATACATACATACATACATACATACATACATACATACATACATACATACATACATACATACATACATACATACATACATACATACATACATACATACATACATACATACATACATACATACATACATACATACATACATACATACATACATACATACATACATACATACATACATACATACATACATACATACATACATACATACATACATACATACATACATACATACATACATACATACATACATACATACATACATACATACATACATACATACATACATACATACATACATACATACATACATACATACATACATACATACATACATACATACATACATACATACATACATACATACATACATACATACATACATACATACATACATACATACATACATACATACATACATACATACATACATACATACATACATACATACATACATACATACATACATACATACATACATACATACATACATACATACATACATACATACATACATACATACATACATACATACATACATACATACATACATACATACATACATACATACATACATACATACATACATACATACATACATACTTACATACATACATACATACATACATACATACATTACATTACATTACATTACATACACACATACACACACACATAAACACACACAGACACACGCACACACATACTTACAGACAGACAGACAGACAGACAGACAGACAGACAGACAGACAGACAGACAGACAGACAGACAGACAGACAGACAGACAGACAGACAGACAGACAGACAGACAGACAGACAGACAGACAGACAGACAGACAGACAGACAGACAGACAGACAGACAGACAGACAGACAGACAGACAGACAGACACAGACAGACAGACAGACATAAATACATATATACATACACCCTGAAATTTACAATATGCGATATCAACGCATCGCGGAACACCCCCGTAAACCCGTGCGAAGGTGACAGATTTAAGAACTACCAATCAGAAGTTACCTAGTGTGTATGTAGGTTCGGCGTTGGAAGATTAACGTCACGTTTACTCCCCTTTCCTTCCCCACATACATACATATACATCCACATGCCTACTTTCATACATACATCCATATATACATCCATATGTACATACATATATACATAACCCACATGCATACAAACACACTCACACTATACATTAATAATAATAAATAATAATAATATTAATAATAATGATAATAATAATAATAATAATTTAATAATAATTATAATAATAATAATAATAATAAAAATAATAATAATAGCTATAGGACAACGACAGCTAAGAGGAAGACTGATTTTTTATTCCCCCCCCCCCCCCCCACCCTTAAAAAAGAGGCTTAAATGGTAGCATTAAATTCAGTCTGGTATTCTGAACGTAATTGTTCCGGTCGAAATGGCACTAACATTTGTTAGTTTACAATGCAGTCTTCATGTATCAGTTGAGGGAATTTGTCAAACAGCACTGCATACATTTAAGTCATTAGTATTGGTCAGGAACAGTTCTTCCAATTATAGAATCGCTTTCATTTTACACTGTTAAGCAGTCACATTCATGAGATGCTTACGTAAGGCTGCCAATGTCACAAGGAGTTCGAAACGAGAACATTAGATCAATTGTAGGAACCACACCATGCCTGCAATACATAAAGAAGCAACAAGTCGAGTGGTTTGGCCACTTGATGCGAATGCAATCCGACCAACTGCCTCTACGAGCATACAACGAACAACACTACTGCCCTAAAGCAAGAGGCAGACCGAGAGTACGATGGATAGACAATATATCAGAGATCCTGAGGCAACACAGACTAACAACAACACATACAACACACCTGGCCCAGGATAGAAAACTGCGACTCCCCACTACGCTGTGAGGCAATTGTGGACAAGACAAGACAAGACAAGCATTCACATTTATTCAGTTAATTTTTTTTAGTACACAGGTACCTGTATTTACCGAATATTTTTGTGTCATGTGGTGTTAAAGTAGACGAATTTAAACTGCAGTATGAGTAAACTCACATTTTTCAGTGACCCCTGGATCCGAAAGCTCCTGTCCAGGTAAGAACTAGACTCCCGGAAATTGACCTCGCATAACTGTTCTCCAGTTGATTCAATTTTAATCTGTGGAATACATGGTAATTTATGCATGTTAATGAGCACTGACACAGTTACTCTTATACGCATATAAAGACCCCCCCCCCCCACCTCTCTTCAACACCCCCTCCCCACTCACCCCAAAAAAAAAATAAAGAAAGCAGCAGCAATATTAATAGGACGAACGAACTCCACACGGGAGTATGCACAGCGGGTGTCAACCGATCAACAGTAGAAAGATCCCTCGTCAACGATTGTTTTGGCACATTAATTCCTAGGCAATCTCGAAATGTGGACCGAACTGTTTATGACTCCGGTCTTCGATTTTGCCCTGCTACACTCTATCAAACTCTCGTACAGGGACAAGACGATATGGTGACTTTGCATTAGCTGGGGTAGCAAACTAACCGCCTACATTCACGACCAGAGTGACAAGCTTACGGTTGGATCATCGGAGAGACGTCAGGCTTTGACAATTGGCAGAGAGACACTGGTAGAAAATTATCGGATACTTTGGTTTTCAGGGATGAAAATATCTTGTCCACCAGGAGCTAATACCAGTTTACAAAGGCCCATTCCCCACAACGTTTCGCTGGGTCCAAAGCCACTCGAAGCCATTTCTGTGGTTTCGCCTGATTGTTTTAGTGAACATTTGCTCTCAAACCTAGCTGTATTGTATATGGAAATGATGATAAGACCTATTGCGCCTGCCTCGATGGCGAAGATTTTAACTGAGTACGCTTCGTCTCTCCTCAGAACGGACACGAGTTCGCCGTACTTTTCAAGCTTGTATATGTGATATTTTTCTATCCGCTACTCGTACGGCACGTTCAGTTTTATCAGAAAGTGCTGGCATTTTTCCGCTGAGAGCAGAACCGTGTCTGGTCTCAGGCTGGTCTTCTGGATCGACTGGGTACTTTTTGAAACTAGGCCGGTCGTCAGCCAGTAACCAGACCCTCGCAAGTGAAGCTTATACGACCTTGCTGACTTTACTTTCAGAAGCATAATATATACATAAGTTATCTTTTACATTCGTTGTTGTTTTCTTTATTGCTTTTATGTATTTTGTGTTTAGTCATTTGTCCGCTTATACTTTATGTCTCTTCTTCTTCTACTCTTTTTTTCATCTTCTTCTTGTCTTCTTCTTTTTCTTCTTCTTCTTCTTCTTCTTCTTCTTCTTCTTCTTCTTCTTCTTCTTCTTCTTCTTCTTCTTCTTCTTCTTCTTCTTCTTCTTCTTCTTCTTCTTCTTCTTCTTCTTCTTCTGTTCTTTTTCTTCATTTTCTTCTTCTCCTTATCTTCTTCTTCTTCTTGTTTCTCTTCTTTCTCTTCTTCTTCTTTTTCTTCTTCTTCTTTTTCTTCTTCTTCTTCTTATCCTCTTCTTCTTCTTCGTCGTCATCTGGCCTCTTAATTCTTTCCTTCATCACATTCTTCGTTGTGGTCGTAATGGTCCTAGTTATCTTCTTAACATTATTGTTGGCTTGTGTTACTGCTTGTATCATGACATTGACAAGTGTTACACATCGGTATTTGCAATGGGCTAGCATAAAGTTATCATTGTCTTGTTGCATTCGTCTGTTATGTATGTGATATGTTAGTATTAAGTTGCCAAGGGCTGATCAGTTACTTGATTTACCGTAATGGGTATGAGGAGGTTTTTTTCTTTCTCTTTTACACATTCTAGTTACTTGTTTAAGGCTTTCTGTTTTATTATTAGAAAGAGAAATAATGTCATGCATACTAGAGCGCTTTTCTTTTTCTTTTTTGCTTGTTTTCTGTGGTCAGTATAATGTCGTGAGAATAACTGGATTACCCTCAGAACTGTTAAAGACATGGATGATGGATAATGAAGATCGGGTCTTTGTTTTGTCAAAAGTACCATTTTTGCCTCTTTTTTTAAAATGACACACTTCCCAGATCGTTATGAACCATGTCATAAAAGACGACTGAGCAAGTGTTGGATTAAACGGATTGTATATATGCAAAAAAAATAAGACGTATGAAGAGTGGGAGCAATGAATAAATGTTGATAACATTTGTAATGTTAACATGCTTGTTTTTCAGGTATCCATTTTGAAACTATGCTTATTCAAGCAGTTATGCTACTCCAGGTCATAGTTCTGGGCACGTGGATTTAAAGTTAGGTGTAGACGATGCAGGGGCCGCGTTAGGGCAGTCGATAGGAGACTTTTTTTAAATCCAGCTGCGACTCGTTTCAGCCCACAGCCGGTGTTCGAAACCGGGCTGTTCCCGGTGTTCACCCAGCGAGAATTTTACTCTAGTCTCCCCATTACGCAGCTTTTGACCTTTCACTAATTTTTTCTGAGGACCCGTCTACATCAGGGATGTGTCATAATTTGCAACTTTGTGAGACAATGTTGAATACCCTAACATGGCCTCAGTAATATGTAAATTGTGGACCTCTTTCCGGCGACTATACCACAATCGCCGAAAGTATTTTACGTGCTGCTTGGCGCGGCGAACGAGAGGGATGGGGTGGGGGGGGGGGGGGCGGTGCTAAAATATATGGCTGGGACTCACAAGCAAAAAAAAATGGAGGAAGCTGCAGGAGATGCGGTAGCTGCTGCTTGTGAGTCCCAGTTATCTTCTTAGCCCCCCCCCCCCCCCCTCCCTCCCCTGCTACGCACGTATGGGAAACTCTTGTCTTTGACAAACTCGGCGAAAGCTTTACCGCGGTATGCTGTTTAGTCGCCGGAAGAATTCTGCGATTCACATATGACTGAGGCCCTGTTAGGGTTTTCAACCTTGTCTTATGAAGTTAAAAATTGTGACATCCCCCTGATGTAGACGCGTCCTCGGAAGCATGAATGAAAGGTCAAACGCTGCGTAATTGGGAGACCAGCGTAAAATTTACCACATAGTTAACAGTCTGGGGTAAATGGAGGTACGCTGTAGCTATAAAGATGCGTGCGGACGGTTACAGAGGCAGACGGTTTCTTGTCAGCTGTTTATACTAGTATAGTTTTTAACCGTGTGCAATAACGCTGGTTCACAACTCACGACTTTACCTTTACCAGTATAGACGATGCATTTGTTCCATTGAAGTCAAAATGACAATTTCCCACAGCCCAGGCGTACATTCGCCTAAGACCTATCTTGTAAAAACCAATTAGCACTCGATGGGTGATATGGTCAACATCACACCGGCCGCCTTTATTTTCTAGAACTTTTCCCGGTACACATATACAAGGGAGTTAAACTGGGAGGCAAAGTAATTTTTTAGAAACTTTTACCTCCATTCAAATGTGAACCCATGACATTCAGATCTACAGGCGAATGTCTAGTCTCTACACCACGGCGGTTTCCCTAATATCCCGTCGGAATAGGTGGAGGGGGGGGGCAATATAATCTAAACAGTGAGGTATAGTGCAGGGTGGTTTTGATGAATTTCATAAAAAACATAATAACGAAGTTTAAGTTATGTTACATTTAATTCCTTACAGTGTACACAAAATTCGGAAGGCTGCTTTTCCTAATTCTGTACGATTCCGGCAATCTGTACAAGATGAACACATCGACTAGTTCTCCGATCCCAGGACTTGACTCTACTGCAGCAGCGATTGTCTCATATTCTGTAAACAAGAAAACTATGCATGGCATATGGGTAACTACTGCACAGTTGATGCTAGAAAAAAAAACATGAGCACAATATGCCGTCTGAACAGCATTATGGGACTCGGGGCAAGCGTATATGCTGCGGCACTAACGACAACCACTCACATAAATGAAATGTAAATGGCCTATAATATTATGCATACATAAACTCTATGGGCACTTTAACAAAACTAAAATAATATATATATTAGATAGCACAGTATTAAATTACTATTAATTTTTTATTATAACAATCATTTGCGGCAGTTCTTTTCAAATAAAAGATTAGAGTGGCCAGAAGAGGGCAGAACGTTTTCACCTTGAAATTTATGGTTTTGAGTGTCCAGAATAGGGATAAATGTTTCCACCTAGAACATTTATGTTTGACTGAGAAGTATCTCTTCTGAAAGTTCTGCTGGTCCAACAGGTAGACTTCGCTGTCGTTTAGTTTTTTTCCCCTCTTTTTACTACAGTAATCTGTACCTGGGCACATTTTCTTGGCCTTGAAGATCGCTAAAGTCACTAAATGTGTCTCTAGTTTCCTGTACATAGGTTTTCAAAGAAGATTCTTGGCAACAGGGATGTCTACATAATTTAATTGCAGGACGATGTCTGTTTTATTCAATTTTTTATAGGTTGCCATTCCAAAGAACTGTAAGGAAGATTGTTTCCAGTTTTCTAAATGTGTGCCGAATCCGTCTGCTCTCTCATTGTATTGACCACCTGTTCATTGTCAGCTGAGTGAAAATCCAGTGCATGTTTCATTTTCTCAAAACCCCATACAGAACATGTACCGCATCAACATGTGCTCACCATCATGTGTCAGACAGATGCTTAACCGAAGAATCTTTTCGTAAAGGTGATGTTAATGCTTTTCACCAATGCGTAAAATTAGTAAAAATGAACACAGGTGCTGAACATAGCAAACAAATATGTAGACTATAGACAACCCTCTGGAGCTTTTACTTCGATCAATTACATCTGTGTCCAGTACATAAATGGCAAACCTATTTGGTTAAGGAATCTAAGCTTGCAGTCCAGTATATATTGTCCATAAATATTTGAGGCATTATCGTATGACTGACCCTGCCAGTTTTATTATGGAACTTTTGCTTTCGTTAAGACAATCAACAACAATATAAGTTAGTGTTTATAATCTGTTAGATTATTTACTCTACGAGGTAAGCTAGGGATGAGCATCAAAAACCCTTTCACAGGCTTATAGCCTTTAATATATCTGGCAGTTAGTGTCAGTTGATCTATATGTGAGATGTGTGGAGTGGGATCTGCATTTTCTGAATAGTACTTTGACTCTTTTACCTCTTCAAAGATAGTACAGAAAACCAGTTGTCCCATTATTTGAATAAATTCCTCACACATATTAGCAGATGAACATGACGGAGTCCCTATTATTGAATCTCCATACATTGTAAGAAGTTCTTCCAAGAAACACGAATAAGGTAACTGTAAAATGCCCACATAGTTGCCATTTTGTGCAGACCTAATAATTTGACTGTCTTCACGACATGACGAAATTCTGAAGGCAAGAAAGCAAATGACAGAAACCACACGTGTGAACACGTAATGATAGTATTCCTGCTCTGAACGATGTTGCTTAAATACCACAGAATCTACATTTCCATTTTCTTTATGTCTTATCCAATATTTTGTCATGCACTGTCAGTGTTGTTCCCCATTTTCATATTCTACAGTAACATTGCTCTGTATCTAATTACTGAACCTGTGTAGCGAAGGGAAATGCTTTTCTGGACAATAGACGACATACAGGACAAATGTCTTGGTGACGGTGAATATAGTAACCATCCACTTGCATTTTAACAAACTCGCAGTTTTGCAGTTCAGGTTTAAATTCATAATTTTTTTTTTTAAACCATGTATCTTTGGCTTGATGTCCACTACTCCAACTGCTTTACACACTCTTGGTTTCCTTAAGTACTTCTTCTTCTGGAATCACTGCCATTGCAATAAAAAAATAATAGCATGTCACATAGATAAGCATAAGACCCATATAGTCGTGTCGCTCCTTTGGCAACTTCCCAGCGGTCCACGAGTCAAGACAGCCCTGACAGTATGTAAATTTGCAAGTTGAATATAGGGGGAAAATATAGTAAACGTTCGTAACTTTTTGATTATATGTTTTTTTTTCCTCCTTATTAAAGTAAAGGATTTATAGTGGGCGCATTCATCATTCACAAATGGAATGAAAACATGACTATAATTATTAATTTAGTTATTGCTCACTTACAAAAGGTGTAAGCTACTTGAGCATTTCATTTAACCTATAAGGAAGCTGAACGCCCCGCTCCCCCCCCCCCCAACCCCTCCTACCCATTCCCACATGTCCCTCTCATTCACACATACTTCTAAAAAAATTCTTCGATTCGGTGCCCTAAAGAAATAACACTACCGTAGGTTTTTCAATTTGTTCTATCTTACCAACGTATCTTGAAACTGAAATGTGTTACCCTACAGTGCATGTGCAGTCACACGATATCAAACCTTGGCATGATCCCTCTATCAGCCTGTGTCCTGGGGCACACTGGCATCTATGACTTCGGTGCCCGTCAATGCAGACAGTGTATTGTGGGCAGATAACTCCTGCGCAATCATTTGCAGACTGATCACAGTTATGTCCTCCCCAGCCTGGCTTGCATACACAGTACCCGCCTGTAGAAAGAGAACATGAGCAAGGTAAACGTCTAATCATGGCTGTACTCTTGTTTGTCATTAGATTGTACATGGTATGGTGGCATATTTACGCCAACTTGTTCAGTCATGTCTACAGATATAACTTAAAACAAGGTAATGTTTCATATCCATGCTTCAGGTCCTTGATTCGTAAAGGGTGTTAGGCCAATAATTATCTACACATGATACATTGCTTCGTCTCCACATATAATAGTACTAGTTAGGTCATGATCAATTAGGAAGTCTACACAGTTTATATTGAATCCGCTAAGAGAGTTAGGACGTTTGCGGGAACCAACTGAGAACTGTGAATCTCCAACCATGGTCAGACTGCAACAACAACATGTTAAACGCTGTGTCGCCAAACAAGAACACTACTCACGTAGATAAAGCAGACTAATAAACCAACACAGAACTGGTGTAGTTAGCCGCTTCACTCTGCGGGATATATTAAGGAGATAATTCGAGTGCTTATAGACTGAGTAGTTCCACGTGCAATGCGGATAATCTGTCGACTAACTAGTCTACACAGTGAGGAATACAAGCTATAACCACAGTGCTGGGAGGCAAACGCACTATTCATCTGTGTACCACGTCTTCCAAATAAAAATATGCTTTAGTATTGCAAGAAACATGCTATACACTTTACTTGTGACATGGTAAGCTTAATGCACTGGTTTGCGATACATTATAGTTGAACGGAAAAATGAATCATTTGCTGAACTTCTGATTCAGCAGCGCCCACTGGCCACTTCCTGCACACCCAGCCGAATGTGATTAGAACCCTACACAAATCTGATTGTCCCTCAGGCACTATAACTCACTCCACTCCTCGCTCAATATTATTAAGACTACTCACGTGTCAGACTGTATCTTTAGCTTGCGCCACACAAGACCGTCCTCTTTTGATCTTGGGAACCAGCTGCATACACATGCAAGCATCGATTCAGAGGTTACAGCAAGTGAGCAGCCCTTAGATATTGTCTCCATGATATATATATTTATATATGCTTATGTGACATATGTATGCTTAACAGGTAAATATATTACCTAGTTCTGCACCACTTTGTGATAAATTGATCCACCACACGCTGAACGATGTAAAGGCCTCGTGGGGGCAAATTAATAGAACAGAGGTACAACAGATCATCACGGACAACCCGACTCGAGATATCGGACAACCCGACTCCCTACTGAGAGGACGTGTTTTTTCCTAGCTCTTACTTTTTGGATTTTTTATTCTAATTTTGCCTGTGAACTAGAGACGTTTTTACCATCGTTGTAATCGTTATTCCTTTAGACGTGCAGTAAAATATTGTTTCACGCAATTAGATGTCATTATTGCATGCAAATGTGGTTTTTGTAGCATTCTCAAACATATTGTGAGCGGAAATATGCCGATGATACAGACACATGAACCACGGATGCGAAGGTCAGTGGGCATTTTGTCCGCGTCACTGAGATTTATCACCACCCAGAACACTGGCTAACCGAGTGACGTCCCGCAAGTGTCACACTATAAAAACGAAACATGTGTGACTACAATAGGACTGAGCTTTTTCAAAAGATAGTAATGCAAGCGAAAAGAAGAGAAAAGGAAATGCCAATTTCTGGACTCACTCACCGAACTATAGGCATCCGGACTATCCCATTCTCTAATGAAACTACATAGAACATTATACGCGCGGTATTTCCAACGCTTATTCAAGGCGACTTGCCGCTACTATCTGAGTGAGACAGAAAGAGGACAATAAATCTTAAACCAGTGTTTGAACACCAGGCCATCAACCGTTCCTTCGGACACCTAGACGCCGTTTAATGGAGCAACATTTGTTCTGACGCAGGCGGGTTCACGAATGGAAGAAGAAATAATTACAGACACTCTGAATTCTCTTCTTTTGAATATTTCACCTTTCTTGGCGATGACATCTCATCAGGCTACACCAGATGCACCTGAGAACACGACATTCTCTAAGCACCCAATTTACTTGCAGGCTACAACAGTTCCATCTGTGACCCCGTGGCCACCTAGAAATGAATGTAGAGACACAGCACGTGATTTTCTGTTCTCAGGCCTTGATCGATGCACGCAAAAAATGTATGGTTGACAACAAGCACGTTCGGATATCGAAACAGAAGACTCAATGAACGCTATACATTTGCTGTAATTAGAAATGCGGTGATCCCTCTCACACACACTCTCTCTCTCTTTCTCTCTCTCACTCTCTCTCTCTCTCTCTCTCTCTCTCTCTCTCTCTCTCTCTCTCTCTCTCTCTCTCTCTCTCTCTTTCTGGCTAGGCCGATTTATGTATGTATTGGCTGAGCGGTTAATGATTATTATTAGTCATCTCTAGTGTATTACTATTGTAAGAACCTAGAAAATGTGAATGCAACCCCTGATGGCTGGCAGAATACATTTTTCAAGCAATGTTACCCTACCACAAGTAAGCATCTTTTTCTGAAACCGTCCCTTGGGTGCACCTTTCTACGGCAGTCCTGAATTTAGTAATACAGTGAGATAGTATTTTGGCTACTGGAAACCAGTAGCACACATATATCTTCGTGTAGGGAGTCGGCAGTCCGAAACCCAAGTTCAAGGTGTCTCCTTCGTTCCAAAGAACTGCATGGCTGTTGGGTGAACAGTCGTTAACGAAGGCAGTCAGGTCGTTATTGGGGCGACGCTTGCTGGTGGATGTAATGTCCTAAATCCCTTCCCCAGCTAATAGTGAGGGTACTGCTGGGGTGACAGTTTATTAACCCTCACATAATGCTTCAAGTCCAAATGGACACTAGGCACTGCCACTGTTTTGAGCCGGGGCAAATAATTTTGCTTCTGCCAGACTGTGGCCGTTGCTTTTTTGCTCCATTGGTAGACTGGAAGTATATAGTTTCGTTGCCCAGCCTCTGAGTTGAGTGCATGGCATGACACTGTGAGCTGTGGATTTCATTTGGAATGTTTTTCGACTGACCAAAGTTGTGGTGTGATTTGTAGATTCAGAAAATGGCACAATGCCGGTTGTCGCAATATTGGTGGGACCATTATTTGATTAAAATTGTTCGCGTGTGCAACTGCTGATCTTTTAATGACTTCTGCTACCATCAATGATGAACTGCATTTCTAACGTTGGACTGTTTCTGTTAGCAGATAGGATGGCTACCATATGCTTTTTAATGCGAGTGTATGCTAGATTTGCTGTGAGAGCAGTTTGTCAGTCTTTCCACAAGGGACTGTGGTAAACATTCTGTGTGTTTTTCGTTGGCACAGGAGCGGAGCAAAGATGGGGTGACCCGTTTGCTATGAAGTTGAAATTAAAATTACCAGATTATCAGATTACCAGATCAGCACGGTCTAAACAGAATTGTGAAGTTTGGTGTAACCAAGGGATATCCCTGACGCACAACACTAAGGAAGAGGCGGGACCGACATTCAATCAGACTGTTATTGCTTCTGCCAGAATAGGAACAGTGAGATTGCTACTGAAAAAAGGGTCGGGGGTTTATGGAAGAATCTAATGTGTCATGATGTGGATTTTTAACAGTTTTTCTATTTATGTTTCTAACAATAATTGTCAAGCGTCAGGTTCTTGCTTGCATATACATTGAAGAGCAGTGGTGAAATCGCATAACCCTCTGGCTATCCTGGGACGATGTTTCATGGTTCTGAGGTCCTGGTACCCAGACGGAGGGGACCAATTCACATACAAAGGACCGATGCCAACCAGTCCACCGACCAGGGACTGACTCTTGTCAATTCTAAAATCATTCATAGAAAGCAAAAACAAAAGTGGCTACTTATCCTTGCCTTCCCAAACCTGTTGACTGAAGCTTTTCCCTCTGAAAACCGATTGCAGCTCAACAGCTAACATTTTCTCCTGCACCGTGCCAAAAGTATTTCATGGAGTGGTAATCATAAAACCACTAAATCTCGAATAATTTTACTTCGGTTTTCGAAATGAGTTTCAGCTGTTGTGCACCCAGTCCTGGGGGTACTGACGCTATTTCGTTGCTCTTGTTAAAGTAAATGGTTATCTCCCTTAATGTGGGCAAACCTGGCCTAATCTAGCCCAGGCGCAATGTCTTCAGCTTTTTTGGAAAATATATTTTTTATCTTTCACCCCATTGATTTTCCTATAGTAGGTTCAAATACGCACTGGGTTCGATTTGTTTCCCCTTTTTTTACCCAGCCCGAAATAGTTGCCAGAAAGGTCCCGTAAAGTAAAAGCTACAAACGTGATGTTGACCACTTCACCCAATGAGTGCCATTAGGCCTATAACATAAACATCTTGCATCCATTCGGCCTTTAACATAAAGATCTTGCACCCATTCGGCCTATAACATTAAGATCTTGCACCCATTCGGCCTATAACATAAACATCTTGCATCCATTCGGCCTTTAACATAAAGATCTTGCATCCATTAAGCCTATAACATAAAGATCTTACACCCATTCGGCCTATAACATAAAGATCTTACACCCATTCGGCCTATAACATAAAGATATTGCACCCATTCGGCCTATAACATAAACATCTTGCACCCTTTCGGCCTTTAACATAAAGATCTTGCATCCATTCGGCCTATAACATAAAGATCTTGCACCCATTCGGCCTATAACATTAAGATCTTGCACCCATTCGGGATATAACATAAACATCTTGCATCCATTCGGCCTTTAACACAAAGATCTTGTATCCATTCGGCCTATAACATAAACATCTTGCACCCATTCGGCCTATAACATAAAGATCTTACACCCATTCGGCCTATAACATAAAGATCTTACACCCATTCGGCCTATAACATAAAGATGTTGCACCCATTCGGCCTATAACATAAACATCTTGCACCCTTTCGGCCTTTAACATAAAGATCTTGCATCCATTCGGCCTATAACATAAAGATCTTGCACCCATTCGGCCTATAACATAAATATATTGCACCCATTCGGCCTTTAACATAAAGATCTTGCATCCATTTG